TAGATGAGATCGCCTGGCATCCTGTCCAATCACACCTTGCATGCTGAGAGGTATGCAGAGGGAAGGCACTAAATAGTGGAGCTGGTCCTTCCTCTAAACTTTCTAGAATTGAGATGGATGGAACTGTTACAGAAAAATGCTATTTTTCCATTAAGACAAGACAAATGGTTGGGTGAGGATAAAGTTAAAAACTTGCTGTTGGCTTGCAAGAAGTATTAGTTTATAAAAGGGAGGAAGTAAAAAGCTGCCAGGAAAAAGATGTTTATGGCAAATTGCTGGACTGACTTTTACTTACATATAATTATGAACTGCAGCTAAGCAGCACAGATCATGCAAGAAATGAAGGCCTTAAAGCAAGGTAGAGGCAATTGTCATAAATAGCCAATGGAAAGTATCTGTTTCCTTTCATGTCACCGTGGCTAATCATTGACTTGCATACATGGGATTACAACTTTGGTCTACTATATTTGTAGCTTAGAAATAACCAAGAAGTTAATGAAGTCTGCACTTTTAAATATAGATGAACTTTTGAATAATGATTAAGCATAATGAAATGTCACTTAATTACTCTTATGTGCAGGTTGAAATAATATGACATCAGAAACTGCACAAGGGAAGAAATCCACTTATACAACATGGAGAATATCTATCTAAAAATGAGATAATTATGTAATCTCCTTAACTCTTAAGAATACTATGAGGTTGTGGTTGAAGGGTGAAGAATTTAAAGGAGAGAATTCCTGTTTGGATATAGTTTTGTTGAATTGTAGTCGTGACTATCCTGGAAGCTGTTGAGTCTGTTGCTTCAGCATTGGTTTAGAAGTACAGCCACATTTCTATATTTAATGCACTAAATTAACCCTTATTTGTATTTTTCAGAATCACAGTTGAAAGACAATCCTGCTTTTTCTATGCTGAATGATTCAGATGATGATGTGATTTATGGGTAAGATTATAAAATACCTATGGAGAGTTACTTTTGGTATGTTATTTTTGTAATGTTCTTTTCCATATTCATTAAATAAGTGAAGGCTTTGTAGGTTGTTCAAGTATTCTGCCTAAAGAACAGAAACATAGCCTTACTCTGAAACAGAAATGCAATGAGAATGCATTTTGTTTTTTCTTTTTTCGGTTTCTAAAAGGGATTTCCATGGCACTGATACAAACAGGTAAGAAAGTATTAGAATGCTGGTAGGTCATGGAGTGAAGGCAGCAAGAGACATGAAAGGAAAGGACTTCCTTTTAAACTGGGAAGGATTGCCCGAGTCAGGTGGCGTTAGCAAAGAGGCAGCTCATATGTAAATGCTGCAGAGAAGGATAGTGGCTCTTCTTAAGTGTCCATCACTTACTGAAATAAGCATAATCAAATCTAGCAAAACTTCGTGGACTTGTGTGAGTTTATGTAATATGACAATTACAGCAGCACTTAAAACCCATCCAGGTCAGGTGTCTCTGTGCTAGACACTGAACAAACGCGTCATCTGCCCTTGATGTTTTCACCTCTTACCAAGGGCACTGAAGCGGTTGGAACAGTGAGGATGGGGTTAATACTGCAGTAACCTGAATAAGTTTGTGCTAGACTAGCTATATGCATTGTCTGAGATAGCTTGCCTTTGTTTAGTTAGATGAGTAGTGGTAGTACCGGCTCGCTTCTGTACTGATCCTTGTGAAGAGTGGCTTGTAGTTACTGGAATAACTTTTATTATGCATCATCCTCTGGAGAGAAGTCACATATATCGTTCGTATCTCCAACAAGGAAGGAAAACAGATACCACCTTCTTACCCAAATAACAATTTGATGCCTCAATGTAGTTTAGAACTTTCCTGTTTATTTTGGACTTCCTATCTGAACACCGTGTTCAGAATTTTTAACAAGTATCTGTTTCACAGGAGTGACTATGAAGAAATGCCACTTCAGAATGGCCAAGCTATTAGAGCCAAGTATAAAGAGGAATCGGACAGTGATTGATTTTGATGTAGACAGACTTGTTCAGCTGGAATTAAACCAATGTTGAAGTTTTCCTAGATGGACAGCTTCCCTGGCTTCCTTACAGTCTGCTGTCATCTGAACACCGACTCCCAGGAAGGACATCCTGCTTCTGTTGCTGTTTACAAGGTTAAAACTGAAAAAAAGAATGCTTGAAAAGGTTGTGGTGAAAACTTAAGAAACCAAAATTTTTACACGTCTTATAAAATGCCTGATAGCAGGATGTCTGTGGACTAAACTCTTGAAGTCTATTTCCATTTAGAAGTGTCATTGATTATATGCTGATTTTAAAATTGCTTCCTTGCTGCTTGGATTTTTGGGAGGGTTTTTTTGAGGATTATGTACAGCATACTGTCATTCATCTGTTGCGTTTGTGATAGCTCCTTTGTATATTGTCTGCTGCTGTACAAAGTGCCTCATTTCCCTTTCAATTTTCTACCTTAGTCTTTTGAGCTGGAGGCACGGAATGAAGCGTTTTAGGGTTTTCTTTTTTTTTTCTTTTTTTTTTTTTTTTGTTAAATGCAAGAAAACACAAGCTTTCCATTCTTCCTTCAAAGAAGCGATACAGACTTCAGACCATTTTTTTAATTCATTTAAATGAGTTTACCAGATTTGTAAGTGCGAGATATGTGCAAATAGTCAAGTTCTAGTGAGCCAAAATAGCCTCAGTGGTGCAAAATTATTTGTATAATATATGTTTCATAACATGCGTTACTGCCACAACAGAAGTGTTTGTTTTGGTTTTTGTTTTGTTTTTCTAAACAGCCCTTTCAAATGCAAATATTTAGGCAGCAACAAGTCTCAGAAGGAAGCCTTCTTTCTGGGTTTTTTGTATGTTGGAGGAGATTGTTACACTTACAGAGAATACAGTATGAAAGTTTCATAGAGAATTGCAATTTGAAATTTCCAAACATTTCATTTTCAGAGACTTTTTCTACATCAGAATTTTTCCTTAAGTTGTATTACTAAATAGTTAATCTACGTCCTAGGAAGAATCGTGGTTGCTCATGTATTGAATGTGCATGAGAGCTTTTGAGCATGTTCTGTGCATAGTTCAACTTCTTTGTCATACCACAGTCGCCACCTGTACTGATCGAAACTTTTACTAGCACATTTCGTGATTATCTGTATTCCAGTCTGTGCTGGAACAGAGTTTTATGGGAATTAAGTATTCCTAGTACAATGCTGCTGCTTCTCTATTTAAAAGTTGGTTTTCTCCTACACTGTTGTTCAGTTCTTTATTTAAGTGGGTGCTGTTTCTAGCTACTTCTGTTTTCAGGTACTTGACCTGTCTGAAAGTATCTTTTTTTTCATCGATTCGTAACTGTGATTTACTCTTGTAAAATTCCTCTGCCCTGCTGCTGTAGAAAAGACTCTCAAAAGCACTGTTAATGTATTAGACAGAAAATGGTGCTGGCCTACACTAAGGAATTGTGCTCATCATTGAACTAGTTTAAGCAGAAGAGCGCAATGAAGTCCTACTAGACTTGCCGAATCATATTGGGGGGAAAAAGTAGATTTGCTCTGCTTTGCAACAACTGTTCTAGACCGTTGCAATTATCTCCTGGTAGCTGTTCCAGATCATGAAGGGGAGACTTCACAGGATAGCAGTTTGCTTAGAGAGGACCAAAGTAACTGCTTCATGTGGTTGCATCCTTGCTGTCATAGAACAGTTCCGATTAAATCAGTGCTCTGCTAAAGACAAGTGTGGTAAGATACTCTGTGTGTGAGAGAGAGAAAACTTTCTAAAATTATGAGGAGCTGTGAAATTTTTTGAGGGTATTTGAAGTTTAAAACTTTCTGTACCGGGGATCATGTATTTGTTAGAAGCCAAAGCGCTATTGTATGGCTAAAGCAAGGAAACTGCTGGGGGGCGAGGGGAAGTTTTTTTCCTTTCATTTCTTAATTAATTGGTGTCAGTTTAGAAGAACATACAGGAAAACATTAAAGAAGTATTTCAAGTTAGTGGTGTTGTGGCTTTTTTTCCAGTGAACTGTAGTAAGCTGTACCTTCAGCACTTCCTTTTAGACTTTAACAAGTATAGGAGACGATCTTTGTATCCTAGAAGAGGAGAGCCCATTCTCATTTTTACCATTCCCCAGGTGACTCTCCAGGCTTACAGCTGGTTGAATTTGCAGAGTCAGACTTGGGAGCCAACTAGGCAGCCTTTGCATACCCCAAATCCTTTTGACTTCCATTGGAGTAACAGTGGGTACAGGAATTAGGGCTTCAAAAATTGGCATTTACATGCTCCTTATATATTCAGATCTTTTTGGCTCTGATATTGTTTAATTCTGTTCTAAATTGTTCTGAAGAGACAGAACGTTTGATTTGACAATGTGCAAAGGATACTAATGTTTCTTATCACAGTCTGAACTGGTTGTTACAGTTAACCCCAAAATACAGTGTCGCGCTTTGGGATTTTGTTAACTAAAGAAAGTATTTTTAATCTAACTTTGAGACGATGATTTTCTTCTAAGCTGTTCTCAGCCCATTTCACTTGCCGTTTTGTTTGCATTAACTTTTCTACATCACTACATTCAAAGTGGAAACACGAAAGCTGAGAATGGGAAATGTGTACTTAAAATACGTATGTCACTACAAAAATAGTGAGAAAATAGTTTCCTTGTTAATTTTTAGAGATTATGTTTAAGCAACGCTTGCCACGCAAAATAGTTTTGTATTTCAGAAGTGCTAGAGTGTAATGGTAAGCTTGGTTGAAGCACTGTCGCGCCAAGTTCAATATACAGTAAAAAGGCAAAAGCGGTGAAGCAGATAAGGACATAGTTTTGCTAGCAAGACATCTCAGTTTCACTCCTCTTATTTCCACAATTGGAAAGCAGAGACAGTATCTGAGGAATATTACAATATAGATTGTAAACAGCTTGGGAGTAGGTGGCATGAATTCACCTCTAAGTAAAGTATTGCAACCTAAGGGTGAAACAGAAGAGATCTGGGTAAGAAACTAGCCTGGCTTTCCTTTCGTTACTGCTAAAGTAATTCTATATTTCCATCACTAGTGGAACTGTATAAAATGAGAAAAGTATGCAAAAAGGCCCCGCAGTATACAGTGTTCCGGCTCTAAAGGAGATGTCGTCTATTAGACTTCCATGTACACAGTGATCAAGAGGGACTTCTAAGGAATCAAAAAGCATTGAGTGTGAGCCATTCACGGCAACCATTTTCTGTAGTATTTGCTTTAAAAATACAGTTGGTGTTGGAATTGGTTGGAAACTTTCCTAGGACTGGCAAACAGGAAGCATAAGGCTTAACACCAGTAAGGAACAGCTAGTGCAACAGACGCGCGGCACGAATACTGGGGAAAATGGAAGGATGGTTCCAGCTAGGAACGACTTTGATCTGTTGTCTTCCTCTGAGCCAAAAGACAACTTTGTATCCCCAGTCACCTAATTTTCCCCCCATTTCCTCTTGCTTATGCCAGTAATAACCTTTGCATTACTGTAAAACCTTTTTTTAGAAGTTTGTAAATATGTAAAATGAAAATATGGAAAAATCGTGTACCAAAATGGTATAAAAATGTGTAAGATAAACGCTCTGTTTAATGAGAAGCTGTAATTAAATGCTGCTTTGAGAAAGTGTGCATGAGGACGTGTTAAATATCATATGTGTCTAGGAGTTGTGTTAATGACAGCAAATTATCCATTTATGTTGGAAAACTTCATGCTAATATGGAATATGAAGGAAAAACCAGTATTTTACTTCAAGCAAAAGTTGGGTATTCAGTTTCTTGGAAGACTTCATGTGCATAATCATTATTAAATATGTTCATAATAAAGTTTTATATCTTTATATTGTATCTTGGTTTTATTTTCCTTCTAGTGCATGACTAACTGTACCATTTTCATAACTTATATTTTCAGTTTACATGTATTTTCTTATACGCATTTAAACTTGGTTAATTGCATAAGGATGGGATCCAGGAGGCTGTGTCAGCACGGATTAACCAAGGAATTATGTTTTGGGTTGGGTTGGGGGTTTTGGGGTTTTTTTGATTACCCTGCCTGGGCTTGAAGGTGGAAGGACAGGTTGCTAATTTTCCGAAGAAATACTCTAGCCAGTTTACAAAGGGGAACTGCTTCTCAAATGGCTTAACAGTGGCTTTGCAAAGCCTGCTGTGGTCACGCCGGCAGTAAAACTTCCCCTGGTGAATGTTAGTGCCAGCTGCCTTTCTGCCAATGTGCATGCTTCATGTTAGCTGCTGTCAGATGTCTCTGCCAGCAGGGCTGTGAGTTCTTCTGCTTACCCTGCAATGATGCATCCTCTCAGCACACCCAGGAAGGGCTGCCCCACCTTCAACCCACTGGCCAGTAATAAAAAAAGGGTTAGAGATGGTGAAGATGCTGATGTCATTCATCTCCTTCTTATAGCTCTGTATCTGAGGGAACTGGGGCTCTTCAGCCTGGAGAAAAGGAGGCTGAGGGGAGACCTCATTGCTCTCTACAACTACCTGAAAGGAGGTTGTAGCGAGGTGGGTGCCAGTCTCTTCTCCCAAGTAACGAGCAATAGGACAAGAGGAAATGACCTCAAGTTGCACCAGGGGAGGTTTAGATTGGATGTGAGGAAAAACTTCTTTACTGAAAGAGTGGTTAAACATTGGACCAGGCTGCCCAGGGAAGTGGTTGAGTCCCCATCCCTGGAGGTATTTAAAAGACGGGTAGATGTGGTGCTGAGGGACATGGTTTAGTGGTGGACTTGGCAGTGCTAGGTTTATGGTTGGATTTGATGATCCTAAAGGGCTTTTCCAACCTAAACGATTCTATGATTCTATGATCTAGATGTCTAGAGACAGGAAACAGAGTCTGAATTTATAATTACCTTCCTAATTACTCCAGCCCACAGTTTGTGCTATTTTTTTTTTACAGCCAATTAGTTACCTAGAGCAAGGACTCTGCAAGCTCCTCAACCCTCATGCTTTACTCTGGCGCTGAGATGAGCTGGCCAGCAGTCTTTGAAAAAGGTGATTAAAACTAAGGTGTTTGAAGATAATTCAGATTTAAAAATCAGTAACTGTACAATATTGAGACCCTAATATGCAATGTCTGTAGTATTTCACAGAAAAGCCCCATCTTAACTCGGGGTGGGGGGAACCAACACCCAAAAAACCCCCAACCCCTAACCTCTTTCTGTAGTACTAGAACTGTTACATCGGAAGCACTGGTTATTGCTCACGTGTAAAACGATCTATAAAACTGTATCTACCTTTCTGTAGCCCAACTTCTGTTTTAATGCAACAGGGTTTTCTCCTCCCATACAGCTTTTACACTGACAAGCATCTCAAACATTTTTTTCTGCACTTCAGTGCGTGAACCAACAAACAGCAAAAAAATCAAGGGATTTGCTATTATTAACATGAACAAAGGACAAGGAATGTTTGAATGGCTTGACCAAGAAGCCAAGTATATCTAGAAGTAAATACTGACTCAAAGGGCAACAACTATGTCTTCTTTTAACTGTAAATAAATAGCTGAGTAGGTACTACACTACCAGCATTATTCTGGCACGCTGGTGGAAAGGAGATAAAGTATCTAAACATCCAGATTAAAAAACTTCCTTAGCAATTCAGAGATCGAAGATTCATTCTCTTCACAACAAGTTTCTCTCTCAGCCTGATGACTATTTCAGGCACTTTATTCAGTCTATCTTGTTTTAGTATTTTCTTTATAATTTCTCACGCTGACTACTCAGCATTCTGTTTCTAGTCACACCCATGCTAAAACTCTCTCTGCTACAGAAATATAAGGCATATACTCCTCAGTATAAGGTATATACAGTCAGTATAGCCCCGTAGCACTCACTAGGGCATATGCTAGAATAAAGAAGTGGCTTGTCATGAAGGAAATGTGTTTACAGAGATGTTTTGAAACTGGTATGCTAGCAGAAATACATAAGCCTTACAGCTATATTAAAAGTCTCAAACGTACCAAGCCCAATCCTGCTGATAAAGACAACTTTTTTTGCCCTACTGACAGCAGAAATGGATAGGAAAGAAGAGGGCTGAAGCCTTGCCTAGCACAGGGTTTTCTACAGTCTGTTTGGATATGCTAAGCAGAGTTATCACAGAGAGCACCCCTGTGCACCTAGCACTATGAAAAACAAATCCCCTACGGTCATTTCACTTTTCAGTATTACATCTTTCCAGATTGTGGAAACATACTGTTGTATCACCAGTCATCTCATTCTAAACAGCTTCAGTTGAGAGCCAGATTTTGAAAACGTTTGACAGGGCTTCCTAAATACAAGCAAATGCACGTCACTCAGACTGACTCTAGCCCAGGAATACTCCCCTATACTTGCTTTGTAAGTAATTCCTTCAACATCACTAGTAGGGAGCTACTGCTTACAGAAGCAGCATGGCAGTTCACATGTCTTTAATTAGCTGACAAAGAAAACCTTATCCAAGCCTATGCTGAAAACTTGTTTTACTTGTTATTCCCCTGCAACTTGACTCTAGAAGGCAGGAGACTTACGTTATTTAGTAACATCGCCTTGAGGCAGTTTTTTCCGCCTTTCAGAAAGGATCATGTTTCACCAACTATCAGAACTCATCACACTCACTATCAGCAAAATCAATGTAGAAGGTCGCAGGTAAGTCCAAGACCTACTTACTACATGCAACTGGCTGCAGTAGTGAATGATTACTCATGTCTAGCTTGCTGAGCACTTCTAGAACATGAAATACTTCTTCTCTCTCTTTGTTCAATGAGGACAGTTATTTCTGTTAGTGTTCCATGTCCTAAATATCATACAGTCAGATTAAACAGGGCCCAAAGATGCAGCCAAGTTACTTTCTGATAAACATGATCTCATTTTCTTGCAATTTTGTAGTGACTTTGGCAGAATTATGGAAGTGCTTTGTATTCTGGTATGTATCTCAACTACCTTGAAGAGAATTAAAAGAATTGGAACCTTTTCTTTTTTTTTAAATAACAAGAGAGTTAAGTTTAAATGAGTCACACCAATGGTTATGAATTTCAATAATTTAATGCTAACCAAGAGTACAAAGTGTGAAAGTCAGTGTCTCGTTTATACCGGTCTTATAAAAGAAATCTAGAGAAAGTGTTTACACTGCAGCAGATTTCAGTATTAGCACCTTGAAGAGAAGTTCTTGAACTGTTAAGACAGGATGGCAACACTGGTACGATACCAAGTACAAACATAAACCATGTAACAGCATGTTTTCACATTTCTACATTTGAAAAAAGTTACTTAAAAAGTACATTAAAACCAGAAGTTGTTCAGTGTATTCACAGTTTGAGCAGAGATGGAATCAAGTGCTGGAGTAGAAAAGAGAAGGATGAACGATTCCAAGGCAATTATATTGCAAGTCCAAAGGCACTGACAATACAGTACATAGTCTTATTCTCCCATCTCACAGTGCAGGTTCCTACAAATACAAGAAAGGGTTTCAGAGACAGAAGAAAGTTACAGTGATTAAATGCACGCCCTTATATGCACGTTTGTAATTGTTTACATTAAGAATCTTAAGAATGAAGCTTTCACAACAGCCAAGCATTTCATATATGTAAGAGTTAGCATCACAGCCAAAGGGAAAAAATACCCAACTGTATGCTATTACTCCAAACCTATAGCACTTGGAAAAAAAGAAAAGTATGCTGCCTGGTCGTAAGGGGGCTAGCATTAAAGTTGCAAGCTGAAAAATCCAACAGTTGTGTTCCTTACCATCGCTGGAGTTGTCCCAGAAGCAAGAGCTTGCCGTATGTAGCCCAGCACCATTCTTTTGCATAATCACACAGGTCACTGTTAGTCAGCAGAGAAGCTTTTATTAATTTATCACTAACATTAATTAACATTTAGCTACATTTTTGCTTAGCATAGTACATATATACACACATAGGCATATATACATGCTCATGAGTAGTTTACAGACGCGGTTCTTGCTAAGACCTTCCCCCACCCCCTACCCACCAGTGCACTTGACTGTACCAGCTTTAACAGAAAAGAGAAAGCTGAGCTCACCAATATACTTGAAAGGCTTCCCCAGCTTTGTGAGTTGGCTTAGCGTTTGTTCCACCACACTTGTTGTCCACTGGTTCACTTTGCTGTGCTGGTAGGCATTGCCACCTATCGCGCTTTCTATGGCCTATTGGCGACAAACACGTAAAATAAGCTGCACTGTTGTCAATCTACAAGGCACCCATTAACCCATTCCAACATGGAGCACTAAAGATGAGACCCCATACCCACAGAAAAAATCCTAAATACTGCTTGTCCATACTGATTGTTGGAAGTGCTTCCAATTATTAAAAAACTTGCAGGTCAGAGTTTGAGCCAGGCATAGGGGGAACTATCATAGATTCCATCCTCTCTTCATTTTGTGATATATTGATTCTTTCTTTGTAGTTCCTATCCCAATGCCCTGAAGCCAGAGTTATGAAAAGGGTCTTGCACTTAAACAGTCCTGAAAAGACTGAAAAAACGCACACAACAATGGCTCATTCACACCTATCCTTCCATAGAAATGAACTTCAGATTTTTCAGTAGAATAATTTTTGGGAAACAAAACCCCAAATCAAAACAAAAGACCCATGTAGTTGCTGGTTACTAAAAGAGCAGAAGCCTTCAGCCAAATAATCCATTTTACTTATGAGGAAAGTTTCCCCTTTAAGATACAAACAAAAGTACATTAAAGTTGCATGTTTTTCAGTCTTACATTTTTTCCTCGCAGAAATTGTTTAAAAAGTAACCATAAAATTATTTCAGATTCAGAAGAGACAGGAGCATGTATTAAAGCATGCGTATTCAATTTACAGAGTCTGACCAAAACAGCTGTTTTGC